CACGTCACACCTCTGTTCATCAATTTGCACTGGCTACCAGTAGCTGCTCGCATTAAATTCAAGGCATTAATGTTTGCTACAAAACCACCACTGGCTCTGCACCCCTTTACCTAAATTCAATACTTCAGACTTTATGTGCCTCTAGAAGCTTGCGTTCTGCAAGTGAATGTCACTTTATTGTGCCATCTCAAAGAGGCACAAAATAATTTTCACGGACTCTTACATTAAATGTTCCCACCTGGTGGATGACCTGCCCAACTCAATCCGAGCAGCTGAGTCCTTAGCCATCTTCAAGAAACGACTTAAATCACATCTTTTCCATCTTTATTTGACCCTCTAACTCTAGCAATTTCTATTCTATTTTAATTCTACTTTATCTATTTATCTTCTTTTTTTCTCTTTTTTTTAAAAACTAGCTTTCTATTTTTTCTATTCTATCTACTTTTATTTTCTGTGTGTGTGTGTGTGTGTGTGTGTATATATATGTGTGTGTATTATATATATATATATATATATATATATATATATACAGTGGGTACGGAAAGTATTCAACCCTCATGTCGTTCCAAACCCGTAAGACCTTCGTTCATCTTCGGAACACAAATTAAGATATTTTTGATGGAATGTGAGAGCTTTCTGACCCTGCATAGACAGCAACGCAACTGTAATGTACCCAGGTCCAGAAACGTAGTAAGGACATCGGTAAAACAGTCCATGTGACATCAGTGGCTCAACTTCAGGTTTGCGAAGCTACGAGAATACTTTTCGTGTGCAAAGAAAAAAAACAATTTATTTAACAATTCTTCTACCCCAAGTTACGTCTTCCGCTATTTTGGAGAGTACCCAAGAACAGGAAATTGCGCGCATGAACGTAATCGGCGTTGTTTACACTTGGGGTAAAACGTGTATATGCGTTGTGATAATCTCCAAAATGGCAGAAGACAGTGACTCGGGGGAGAAGAATTGTTGAATAAAGTCGTTATATTTGTTTTCTTTGCGCACAAAAAGTATTCTCGTAGCTTCGCTAAATTGAAGTTGAGCCACTGATGTCACATGGACTGTTTTACCAATGCCCTTACTACGTTTCTGGACCTGGGAACATTACAGTTGCGTTGCAACTTATTAAACAAATTATAAATGTTTAAAGAACTTTAAAGAGTTATTCTATATGTAAATATATGGGAAATAAGCATGTATAATTAAATATCCAGTCTCATACCCAATATAACAAATATAACAACATAGTACTGACATACTGTGCATTCCTATACAAATCGCTAACCCACAATTCAACAGATGACTCGGGCTGATTTAAACAATTGTGCTACTCAAGCCGCTATCACATAGACAATACACTGCAAAACATTTCAGTTAAACAAGCGAATGATTTAGACTAAAGTTAATCATACACCTGTCTGACTGTTACACTCAGCTCAGGAACATGAAGCCTCCCTTGAGACTTACAGATCTATTATGGCTGAACTTAGCTAACAATGCGGTGCGATTTAACATGACTCCTTCATCCACCTGCACGGTCATCTAAAATCATTAGCAGGACTACATCAATGGATTTTAAACCTCAAGAAGACTAGAGAAACAGCCTCAGGGCTGGTTTCTCAGGGCCAGATTAACCGAGTCCTGAACCGCACTGCAGTTTGAAGTGTGATTCTCCATTAAGATCTCTGAACATCCTTAGCCAAGAATAACACTAAAGCAGTGTCCTTGAAAAAAAAATCCCTCTGCCTAACGTCACTCTGCTCTTCATTTTAACTAAAATGTTGAGAACAATTTGTACCACATGATGTTTGAACCTCTGGTGCAGTACTGCAACCCAAATTCAACCTGTTTCAATTCAGAATCAACCTCATCTTCAGGAAAATTAACTGAAATCAGAAAATATCAATTCACTTTTAAAAATACTATTAAGAAGCCCGCTGCACAAAATGATTCTGAGGGTCTTTTAGAGTTGGGCCTGGTGACGTCAGCAATTAAAGGACAAAGGAAAACAATGGCTATCAGACAGTGTGCAGGACAGGAAGTAATGCACACGCAAACAGGAAGTGGACAGGGGTTCGGCTGTTTTCTGCAATCCTGCTGTGTTTGTGTTGTTCGCTCATGTTATATGCCACACTTTTAACCAAGCAAAAATTCAACTTACATAAGGAAATGTAGACTTAATGGAGATTTCAACGGTGACACACAGTATGTCAGCAGTATGAGCTGCTGCTATTTTGGATTCACTGTCTTATTTTAAAAGACCACAACATCTTCCCTCAGCCTGCTAAGAAACTAGGTCTGGTGCTGCCGTCCCAGAGATAATCAAATAAAATATGGGTCAGAACTTGAGCACTGCATACATTTTTGCCAGTTAACTGGTTAATACATTGTTCATGTCTAAACTACCATTTAAAAGTTTGAGGTCGGTAAGATTTTTAAATATTTTTGAAAGAAGTCTCTTATGCTCACCAAAGCTGCATTTATTTACAGTGAAAACTGTAATATTGTGAAATATTATTACAATTGAAAATAACTATAAAAATGTAATTTATTGCTGTGATCAAAGCTGAATTTGCAGCATCATTACTCCAGTCTTCAGTGTCACATGATCCTTCAGAAATCATTCTGATATGCTGATTTGCTGCTCAAGAAACATTTCTTATTATTAACAATGTTGGAAACAGTTGTGCCGCTTAACGATTTAATGAAAACTGTGACACTTTTTTCAGGATTTTTTTTTAATTAATTGAAAGTTCAAAAGAACAGCATTTTTTGTATCAATGTAAGTCTTTACTGTCACTTTTGAAGAATTTAGTGCACCCTTACTGAATAAAAATGATAAAAAATAATAATAAAATCTTTACTGACCCCTAAACGGTAGTGAATATTCCCACAATTCTTCACAAGAACAAACTCAGGTCGTCTGAAACCTTTGGCTATTCTGTTACCATTCTCCAATAATACTCAATAAAGACATCATTACTCAGCAGAACTAGCTAATAATTACAATGAATGACTCTGAATTAATATACATAAACAATCTCTATAAAAGCAAAGCTTTTAAAGGTTTAAACAGAGATTTAATAGCATGTGGATGAGTACTGCCCATAATTGTTTCTGACAATATGATCATTTAAAAAACAGCTGTAGCGTCTGGACCAATCAGACACACCATTTTTCATTTGATTTAACAAATCAATTATTAATTAGATTAACAAGTCGTCACAGACCCCTCACCCAATAGACTGGGCGCCAGGATGTCTGCGAATGACCACAGGCCACTGGTAGCCTTACTTGTATCACACTTGACGTTGTTCATTGTTTGCTCATAACTGGAGTCCCTTAATCATGCCGATTTATGCTACAGGCTCTCTGTAGAACTGTACAGTAAGAAAGTTATTTACCTTAATCAGGAAATTAACGTTCTTAGAATTGACAAACAGTTGACCCTGAGAGGTCAAGTAAATATCTACAGCGGATCTAAATATTTATAATTAATTATAACTAGTTATGATTAATTATTCATATTTCCCCATGAGCTGATTCGCTACACAGCCCTGTAATTGTGAATTTCATTTAAATAACAGTCATCAAATCATAGGCTAATTTGCACATTCCCCTCCCTCATAGATGTGCTGGAAGATCTCAAGAAAGCAGCACACGGTTGGTCTAATTAGTTCAGTTTGAACTCTTCCTGCTGTGCATTTACACAGAAGACATCCTCCAGTTTAAAAGGTGCACTACCACTGCAGTTCAGCACATCTGTTATTATATGATAACAGTTAAAAAATCTGATTTTTTTTTTTTTTTTACTAGTCAAGCTCTTGTGGGATTTGTTAGAAAAAGTAATCGGAATGGATCCTTGACTTTGTCACCAAGTCAGGAAATGTGTAGAGTCAATATATTGATAAAAATTCTTAATATGTGAGGACCTACAGGTTTAATCAATATTCTTATCAGCAAACGACCTGCTTAGGGAATTTTTGCAGCACAGACATGACATGCAAAGCATGCTGTTGTTCTTGTCTGAAATTTCCATCGCCAGATTGAATACTGAGCAGTTCGCTTGGAACAATCCAGATGTCATGCATACATGTTTCTACACTCTAAAAAATGCTGGGCATTCAAATATGGACTAACCCAACCGTTGGGTTAAAAATTTAATGTAAAAATTTAACCCAACGGTTGGGTTTGTCCATATTTGACCCAAAGTTGGGTTGAAACAACCCAGCATTTTTTAGAGTGTACAACCTGAAAATCATCATTGTATGAATCTAAAAGTCTTGCATTTGTTCCAGCACCTCCAAACACACACAACATGACCAGTAGGATGATTCTCAAACTGTTTCTGTTGTTTGCCAAAAGTAACAGCAGTTGTATTAGGCTACACCAACATATGATTTTCTGTATTTGTTGTACTTTATATTGCATTGCTTTTATTGGTTCTGAATGCTCTTTCTGATCTAAAGCACTGCTGACACAGCACTGAACCTGCATTACATCTATCATCATCACCGCTATTATATAGGTACAGAAGGGTTGCAGTAAAAACATACCGATGACAGATCAGATATTTCAGAGCGCATATGGAGAGGTGTGTATTTAAGGGTATGTCAACAGCCTGCGTCCATAATAATGCATGAACCCTATTCATAGGAAATCTGATGCAACCCTGAACTCTAAAACCCGGTATGTGGCATGGAGAGGGAAAACCAGCGACTCACCCTCGGAGAGCTCCAGCTCGAGCTCCGCCAGCTTCTCGCGCACCTCCGCCGGGAGAGTCATCGCGATCGCCGGCGACGGGTCCAGCATCATCATCAGTAATCCGGTGGAACTGCGCTCTGCCATAATGATCCAGCTGGGTCAGACAGCTCCAGGTCCTCACCGGCCAGAGGGCTTGTTGTGGCTCAGATCAGCTGCTGGAAAGAGAGGGATGGGTGGGTGCTGGTCGCTTATCGCATGCAAATGTGAGAAGTATCGGGGCGGTTGCATGTAGGCTGCTGTTTGCTTACAGCCCAGCCACTGGGGCCGCAGATAAAATGTAAGATCCACGCCCTTCTTCAAGCCGGATTTAGCGCTGGATGGTCGTGCATGACTGAAGAATGCGTCGTAAAACAAAGGGAAACTCGGCCAACTCCGCTCTTCAGCGCGCCACCATCGCCATTGCAGCAGAGCAGCTGGGAACAGCGCGTCAGTGTCTCACCTACACACACACACACACACACACACACACACACACACACCGGTGACATGCACTGGCAGTGCGCTGCACTTGCTATACTAACACTAAATCGGCCGTTTCTCTGTCTAACAAAGTATTTTGCCGTTTGTATTGAAGTAAATCAAGCTTTCTACCAGACAAATAATGTAAAGCTATTTATAGCATGGGTCAAATGTTAATAAACATGCACTGTGACACTTGAAGTTAAATGTAAACAGTTTAACATAGTGAAATACCGCTACGCCCTAAAAGAAGTAACAGGGTTTATGATCACAGGGTTGACAGTAACAGGATGAGCAGTTTAGTTCATTTAAGTCAACCTTGTGCTCAAGGTCATGACACATGGGTTTTATTAGAAAGAACAAGCTGATAATACAAATATCCACCTTTCAATAATCAGCTCCTGACAAAAACAAGGTAACAGGGTTGAATGTCGAATTTAAACCATAAGACAAGACAATACTTGACTTTGAGGAGTTCGCATCTTGATGTTTTTTAATGGAATTAATGTCAGTTATGACAGTAACAGGGTTGACTTCTTTGAAAATGCACATCTTTGCTAGTATAGCAAGGAGAAGTTGGAAACACAAAAAAGTCAAATAAAGTTACAGGATTTTTGTTGTATCACTTTGGTAAAGTTTGGTAGTTATTCATTGCTTTGTCAAATGTTTACAGGTGTTCAAGATGTATACAAATAGCACCGATTTCATTGAAAGACAAACATATGCACACATTATGAGAAAAAACACACATATAAAATATAATGTTAAACAGAATGATAAACATTGTTAAAACTTGCATCTCCATAGATGAAGTCCCAGGTCTCCCTTTAGGTTATAATGTAATTTTGATGCGTGATACAGTTTCCTGTGACTGTAGACACTGGCTGTCTGAAGCTATCAGTATTCGAATAGTTTAATATTGTTTGGGACTTCTGTTCAAACTTTCTTTTACCAATTTATTCAATTCAATTAAATGATTTAAATATTGGTTTTAGAGGGCAATCAGTTCAGATGTTTTAAAAGCAAGTTTAACACGTGGTGGTGAAGTTCACTGCCAACACTGGACAACACTGCCAACATGTGGACAATATAGGAAACTACAATAACAAAACCTGAGATTTATTTACTGACACATTGCAAATCATAATTGATACAATTCACAGAGACATCATTATGATGATCATCTATCTACTCAAGCATCAAACGTTCTTGAATAATCATCTACCTTCACTTAAACGTAAGGGTTCATGACGGAATCAAGACAAATAGACTGTCTTCCTGAGAGTGTGCCTGAGATTTAAAAAGTACGAGGATTCTGGAGATTTGTCATTGTGTTCATATACTGCACGATTCACCGCCATGTGCAAGTCCACCAAATGAGTCCTCCTGAAAAGAATAAAAATACAATTAGTAATACTTACATAACGCTTAATAGAAATAATAATAATAAAAATCAATCAATCAATCAATCCCTGGGTCCAAAATGGCCAATAGAGATTTAGAAATATGCAATCTAATATATGCTCTATACTATATGATAACAATATAATGTTTGGAATAATTTTATTATTATTCAGTTAATATTGTGAAATATTATTACAATTTAAAATAGCTCTTTTATATTTGAATATACTGTAAAATGTAATTTATTCCTGTGATGCGCAGCTGAATTTGCAGCATCATTACTCCAGTCTTCAGTGTCACATGATCCTTCAGAAATCATTCTGATATACTGATTTACTGCTCAAGAAACATGTCTTATTATTATCAGTGTTGAAAAAAGTTGTGCTGCTTAATATTTTTGTGGAAACTGTGATACATTTTTCAGGATTCTTTGATGAAATAAGTTCAAAAGTACAGCATTTATTTAAAACAAAAACTGTCTGTAACATTGAAAATAATAAATGTTTCTTGAGCAGTAAATCAGTATATCAGAATGATTTCTGAAGGATCATGTGACACTGAAGACTGGAGTAATGATGCTGCAAATTCAACTTTGCATCACAGGAATAAATGACATTTTAAAATATGTATTTTTATATATATTTTTTGTATTGGTGAGCATGAGAAAAAAACAAAAACATAAAAAAAAATCGTAATAATTCCAATCTTTTGATTGGAAATCGGTAGTGTAATTCTAAATATTTCAAAGTGTTAAGTCTTACCTTTTCTGTCCCTCAGTTAAGGAGGATCTCAAGGCTTTCAGGTACACAGACTGATGGTTTGGCACCTCCAGCTGTTTTCCTCGAGTCCAGCAGTGACTCCAGAAGATGTCCGCATCCACCGGGACAGTCCTCTTGCAGCATAAGAGCACAGGCCCGTCTGTCTCCAGCTCTCCACCCTCCATACACCCAGCACACCTCTGAGGCTCGGACACATCATAGCTCTGGATAAAGAAGAGTTTAGGCTTGCCTGCCAGGCCCGGGCAGGAGTCTGAGGTGAAGAGGCGCCTGACAGTGTCCAGGCTCAGTCCTGGACCGTGAGAGTCAGTGGCCAGCAGATCTGAAGAGCGGCTTCGGCTGATAACACAGCAGACAAAAGCAGACGCTCTATAGTGACCCTGCTGATGAGCCACTTCCCTCAGAGTGGACTGCACGTCCCTCACACTCAGCAGCTTGTGCGTGATCACATGGAAGTGTAAGGCCTTAAATGTCTGCTCCAGCTCATCTGTAAGGAAAAGAGAAGCCATTACTAGAGGGTAATGTGATTTCTTTCACAACTAAGTGGGACTATTAGTACTAATCACCAAACAGACATTTACATTCAATTGACTTTCGATTTCAAACTCAGTTTAAAAAATAAAAATAAACTCTGCTTAAATAATAGTCTGCTATTAAATTAGCTGAGCATTGCAATTAGTAAATGGAAATGGCTCATTCTGTTGTGTCTTGATGATTAAACCAAATTTTTCATTACAAAAAAAAAAGTTTGTGCTAGGAAAAGACAATACCAGCATTTGGATGAACAACTAGATAAAAGTTTTGGACTTGTGATAGTACTGATTTAACACATACTGAAAAACATGACCACAGTACAATTCAATGTTTTTTTTGTTTTTTTTAGAAATTAATACTTTTATTCAGCAAGGATGCATTAATTTGATCAAAAGTAACAGTAAAGACTTTGTTACATAAGATTTCTATTTCAATTAAACAAAGCTTTTCTTTTGAAATATCTATTCATCAAATAATCCTATTATTATGGTTTCTACAAAAATATTAAGCAACACAACTGTTTTCAACACTGATAATAATAATAAGCAGCTAATTAGCATATTAGAATGATTTCTGAAGATCATGTGACACAAAAGACTGGAGTAATGATGCTGAAAATTCAGCTTTGTATCACGGGAATAAATTACATTTTATAAATGTATTCAAATAGAAAATCTTACCAACCCCAAACTTTTGAACGGTATTGTAAACTATAGGGATGTAATGATTAACCGCGAGCCGGTTGAAAATCGATTTAAATATGTGACGATTCAAATCGGTTGAGATGCTAAACAAATCGCGATTCAATTAGGGGTAGGAGTTTATATGAATGTATGTCTGAGGGGAACTTATTAAAGTTCTGCTTTGTTTACAGCGGAAACCAGGAAACGGTTTAAGCGCAATCAAAACCAACAAAAGAGCAATAATATGCAAGTGCTATATTAGTATATTATTATAGTGTTATATTTCAATTTCACAAAGAAACGCGCAGTATTTTGTCCAAGCAATAATAAAAGGACACATTTAATTTATAATTTGTGTTAAATCTCATTTTGTTAAAAAAAAATCGTGAATCGAATCGAATCGTGAGTTGAGTGAATCGTTACATCCCTAGTAAACTACATAAGATCAGTGATTTCTCACCTCCTTCAGTGCCGACACAGTCTATGATTAAACACACTCCTCTGGGATCACTCTGCATACTGTACACTTCCTCCTGCTGCTGGAGATCAAAGAGATCAAATCAACACAAGTCAGTTTGACACACTGATCTGTTACATGTCATTGGTTTGGCCACATTCATCACCTGATAACAATCTTCCACAGTGGCATTTTCACCCACAATAACAGTTTCACTTATATTTGGAGTCTGCACCCATAACGTGTTACTAGGAAATAATGTTATTACTTACCTTGAAACAGCACTTGGAATTAACAAAATAATACCCTAAATGCAAAACTCTAATTTTGGCCATATGGTCAAAGAAAGAAGTGAAACCTTTTGTTTTAATAAAATCCTACAGTTTCATAATGAACTAGCTGAGCATCAGTGCTCATTGTATTGAACAGATATACAGTATATCTTAAAAGCATATCGAACATATTTCAAATTCATTCGAAAATTCATGATATGCATTTCATTAAAAATATATTTATTTATTTAAATTACCTGACAATAAGAGCTAGTGCCAAGTAGTTTCTTCTTCACTGTGGTCGGTTTATCTAAAAAATTAATTAATTAATAAAAAGAAAAGAAGATATAGATAGATATAGATAGATAGATAGATAGATAGATAGATAGATAGATAGATAGATACAATTACACAGAACATACTGCACTCTACCAGTCAAATGTTATGATATACATATTTAGGATAATACATATTAGTCAAATATACATTAGACATATGTCGTATATTTGTCGTATATTAGAAAAATATATAAATTAGTCACAAATACTAAGAAAACTGAGTTACTTGTAAGTACATAAAAACCCATGTTAGATCAACAGAATTCCCCTAAAGGTTTTTTTTTTTTTTTTACCACCAGTCACTTTCTGAAAATCTGAATGAATAATGTTGCTTTGAACTTTGAACTTTTCTCAACAGTTTATTATTCTACAGTGTAGTGAAAATATTAAGATTAAGATTTTTGGTCGCTTAATATGTCCCATCCTATGTGCTTTTTCTAGTTTTGATGACATTAGTAATACTGGAAATTGTGGGATAAAAACATAACAATAAAGACACAAAGAGAGGTTTGTCCAAACGTTTGACTGGTAGAGTATTTCCTCATTCTGTCCATTTTTGAATTAACTCACCACAGAATTTGGAAACTGGCCTGACATTACAGGAAGCTGATGACACACTGAATGAGCTACTTGGCTGTGAATGACACAAACACTCACATTTAAGTAAAGATGATTGAAATATGAAACACTTTAAGTGCTATGTTGTTAGACAAAGCAACCAAATTAAATCTCACCGGTGGCATTGTGCAGAACTTCAGTCTGTCTGGAGGTGAAGATCCTTGTTTGGTCATTAGCACTGCAAAAGCGGTTTTCAGTTATTTAAAAAGGAAACCTATACAAATCAACTGATTCAGTTTCCCATAAAAATACCTAAAGGTTAATTTCCTAATAGTGATGACGCAACAGAAAGAACTACCAATAAGAAGAAGTAGGAAAGAGGAACTGAATCAGACTGTTCCGATGTCACATGTGATTTTGCATCATCCTAATACGGAAGTGATACAATTGACTCAGAAAAAAGACACAAATCTTTCACTGGGGCAGTACCTTTTCAAAGGGTACTACTATGTACCTTTAAATGACTAAAACGCACCCTTTAGGGGTGAATATGATGCAAAAGCTACATCCCAGTGACAGCTTTTGTAACTTTTTTTGAGATCGTATCATGTTAATGACATACTGTAGCCTAAATCCCTCTGAATGAGACAACAGGAGTGTATTATATGGTTGCATCTACAAAAACATCAATAACAACATGGTAATTCTTACCTGTCTGCTGGTAGTGACTGATCTTTTTAGCTAGATCGGCCCTATGGATGGACCTCAGGCAGTGTTCAATCAAGTCCATCTTCTCACTGGAGAGCTGGTCGAGTTTCTCCAACTCCACTACAATGTCTAAAAAACTCTGCAAGTATATGTTTAAAAATCTCATTTCAGCTCCACACATGAAACATTTCAGTTCTACACGTGAAGAACAGAGCTGTCAGGACATCATACCTGGACATTGTCCAGTTTGTGTTTTGGTAAAGTGCCTCGGAGTAAGAATGTCAATGACTTCAGGTTTTCTGTGTCCATGTCCTCACTAACATCAGCCATCAGCACTCTAAAAACACAACGTCCAGGTTAAAACCTTCTCTTAAACTCCCACACTGTGCATAAATGGAGATGCGCAGAGCGAGCATTACCTGTATTCTGATACAGAATGGCCATTTTTTAGCAGCCCCTCAACCGTGCTCTTGTTGGTGCTCAGCACTTCTCTCAGCAGATCATAGCGTTTTATTTTCAGAATGAGCTCCATGAGAAACACGTAATCCATCCTCATCTGGCACAGCATAGATTGTAACATGCCTCTGGGATCTGTAGAGAACTTGTCCACATCAAGAGCGCCGCACAGGTAAGAGATCCGCTTGCATTCATCTGCACTGAGCTCATCAGTGATCTGACTGATCGTGTGGTACAGGCCTGACATTGTGCTCCAAAATGACTCTGATAAGGACAAAAACTGCCATTATGAAAGGAAGAATCGCTCTTAATTGGGGTATTTAGTTCATTTACAAAAGTGTAGGGTTTTAGAGTAGCCTATGCTTTCTTGTATTAAAGTTAGTTCTTGTAATGTATTATGTACAAATGGTGAGTCAGGTCATTCATCCTAGACTTACTTTCACAATTAAATAGCATTTGCAAATGTACAAGCCAAGGCATTACAGCAGGATGTTACTCAGTATGGGTACATGTTGGGATATTTCGTTTGTATGTATCTTCAAATGACACCAATCGACATAATACGACGATATCTGTCTACTATAGACCCAACAATAATAATAACAATAAACACAGCGAGCGTTTCTGCCAAAATAGCACTATATAGCCTATCATATATCGTATTAAATAAATATCGTATCTTCTGGTTAATTAAGACTTTCTATCATTTATTTTTGATGACAGTTTTACTAGGCTATATTAACAATACCTTTAGTCGCATTTATAGCGTAAAACGTATAGTTACAAATGATATTACTATATATGGTTGTGATTCTGAAACTATGATTAGCTACAGTGCGGTAAAGCTTTGTGAGCATGCTTAAAAAAAACTGCTACTTGTTTTATGTGGAGATTATAAGTCAATACATTTAAATATTCTCGAATAAAAAGACAAAACTGTCACCCTTACCTGAAGAGAGCTGCTGTTCTGACTGAACGGAGCATCCGCTCTGGAGTCAATATAGCGGTAATTCAGAGGCATTCCATGACGGTGATGCACTTTACTCGAGACGGAAAGAGAAAAGGAGGAAGTGGGCGCAAACGTGTACGTCTAACTTTCGGCATTCAAGTACGTGCTGCTAAATTTGGGTATTTGCAAAGTAGTATATTTTTGAAATTCGCTTTTTTATTACATAAATTGTGGAGAGAGTCAACAAACACTACATCTCTTTATATTCTACTTTCTCTTTGCCTACACAAATCAAGTACTTGAGTAAAAGTACAGATCCGTATAATAAAATATTACTCCAGTAAAGGTAAAAGTACTCCGTTTTTAATTTTACTCGAGTGAAAGTACAAAAGTACTTGATTTTTTTATGCACTCAAGTAAAAAGTACCGATAGATGAATGTTTATTTTGCAGTTTTATATAGGCTACTTTTGTCATTTAATTTTATATTAGCATATATTTTTTTTATAATCCTACTGCTCAAAATACCTGGGATTTTCCCAAAATAACCATAAACTTCATATCACATAAAACTGCAACCAAAAACGCACTGGATATGAAAAACGATGTCTATTAAGATTAAGTGTTTAATAAGCCAGCTCCTTTTGCTAATCATCTAACCTCTGGTTACCGTTTCCTCTGCTGGCAGCTATTTCCGTTTAGCTGGAAGAGAACTCAACAGATTAAAAGATGACCTAAATGATTCATGATCTTTTTCTAGTTTTTAATTTCCCCATTAAATTAAATATTAACCTTCCAATCTAATTGCCAGCATCTGTGCAATGCCACAATCCTTTTGATTCATACCTCAGTGTGTACAACAAAGCAAAAATACATAGATATACATTGTAAGCACACAGCAGTGCATTATCGAGGACGTTAAGGACGTCATAGTCAACATTTTTATCTACATTTTATAAAATACTTGGCTGAATGCACTGAAACGATGGCCTGGAAGTCACAATAAGAGAATCACTTTTAAATTTAAAGGAATAGTTTCTTTTTTTTTGGGGGGGGGGACTAATAAATTTAGTACTAATTAATTTTTCAATTTAGTTAATTTAAATGTGAAAATCTACTCACTCTCAGGCCATCCAAGATGTAGATGAGTTTGTTTCTTCATCAGGTTTGGAGAAATGTAGCATTGCAAGTTCGGCAAAACCCGGATCGATCGCGTCAAAAAACTAACGACAAGCACTTATCCATCTGCGCCACTGGAGCTGATGTTTTACAGCCACTTTTAACTAAATGTAAATATACACTCCGTATTTTTTATTCCATAGTAAGGGCAACTCATACAATACATTTAAACTGAGCTACTTTAATACCATCTCCGAACTTTCTACCACGACTCTGCTGTTCTTCGGCTGGTTCTTCCTGTATACGTTGATTGACAGATGTCTCGTCCAGTCAGCGGTGAGTAATCCCAAACCAATGGCGCTGTCTCAAACTATACCTACCTCTTCCGGTTTGTCTGATTTGTCGTTGTGTTTTCTGACTTGTTATTTTGTTTTTGAATTTGTCATTGTGTTTTCTGAATTGTTATTTTGTTTTCTGAATTGTTGTTGTGCTTTCTGAATTTTTATTTCGTTTTTTAGACTTACATTTTCGTTTGTAATTTGTTATTTTGTTTTCAGAATTGTGATTTGCTTTGCACTTCTCGGCCACCGTAAAAAGGTGCACGTTTGAAAGAAAAAAAAATCCATTAACTGTTGCTTATGGCTAAAATACCTCTATCCATAATATTGCTTTCTCCATTCAAAAAGGGTCTTGTCTGATCAAGCACCATTTACAAGACTAACAGTCAAAAACAGTTCTAATCAAATATGCCAGTTAAGGACAACAAAGGATGGACTTCTTCACTGGAGAAAGAGTTATTACGGATTATTTACTGATGGATGAATTTGTTTCTTACAAGCATGGACTTCACATGATGTTAATTGATGGACTGGAGTCGTGCGGATTATTGTGATGTTTTTATCAGCTGTTCGGACCCTCATTCTGACGGCACCCATTCACTGCAGAGCATCCATTGCTGAGAAGGTGATGGAATGCTATTCCTCCAAATCTGTTCTGATGAAGAAACAAACTTATCTACATCTTGGATGGCCCAAAAGTGGAGTACATTTTCAGCTAATTGTCATTTTTGGGTGTTCTATTCCTTTAACTCATTTATATAATTCTTATATCACAATACACAGGGGTGGACCGGAATTTAACAGCCCACTATCTATTCAGATACAGTACTCATGTCATGTGCATGCCATAGAGAACTCCAGGCAAACAATGCAGGTGCAAATATCTGAAACTGTATTTTCTATTCCTTTAACTCATTTATATAATTCTTATCACAATACACAGGGGTGAACCGGAATTTAACAGCCCACTATCTATTCAGATACAGTACTCATGTCATGTGCATGCCATAGAGAACTCCAGGCAAACAATGCAGGTGCAAATATCTGAAACTGTATGATCTTACCGAGCCCAGGGGTCCCTGAGTCCTCTTCGAGCGAGCCTCTGCTGGGTTGCTTCCAGCGGCGTTCCTTCCCATTTCCACACTTTGTAGTCAGGCATGGACAGCTTGCCGTGCCCATGTCCATGATCCCCACCCATGACTGCTGCTGAAGAAATCTCAAGTTAAAGTCACTCGACTCAACCGAATCACTCAGCTAAAGAGCTTAAGAGCGAGTCGATTCAAAAACGTGTGGTTAAAATGCAGACTAAAGCTCGTGTATAAGCGCAGTTAAATGCATATTTTGAGATTGCAACGGATCAGTTTAGCTGTACTTCAATGGTTTCGCTTCATGAATTAGCTGTTAAACAGCAACTGAATACAAAACAAACACTGAAGTCTTCAGGTACACACAGAAACAACACAAGCGAACCAGCTTATGACAACTAAACTGCAAACACCGACTCTGGTGCTGTCTTCAGTAGCAAATAAATCCTGCCTCCAGTTTAAACTAACGTTAAATTAGACGAAAAGCAGTGTAACATTTTGTAAATGTGTTAAATAGCAGCATAATTACCCTTTTTTTAAAGCACAGTGACCTCCAACTTGACCGCTTCTTCTTCTTCTTCTTTTTGTTCAATGGCCGTTCACTCCTTAGGAGTATTACCGCCACCTACTGTATATCTTGCGCACATGAGTGATGAATCTGTACTGAAGGAGAAAAAAATAAAATAAAAAGTGTGTAATGCCCCACCCACCCCAGAGGATCAGAGCCCAAGCTTCAGCTGGCGCTGCTCATTTTCAGAATGATATGCTTCTGTTTTTCATCCTTGCATTTAATAATTATTCTTCCATTGCCAAGACAAGATACAGCTTTCACTATCCCTATCTCTTTCTCAATTGCTTTTGACAGTTTAACAGGATGAGTTTGTTGTTCTGACTGCTTAGCAAAAGTAATTATCACTTTGATTTCTCTTTCTTCAACCTCTTTATCAGCTTCAATTCTCGTATGTCTTACTTTATTAATTGTTTGCTCACAATCAGATCCATCACCCATGCTACTCTTTTTTTTCCTTTTACTGTATCTTACTTCCTGAAAATCCATGTCTTGATCATTGTCGCCATCCGAAGTATCTCCCCACGCCAACGACGCCATTCAACGCCAACGACGCCATTCAACCCCAACTTGACCGCGCAATCAATCCAGGAAGTTAAGTTACTACATCCTGTGAAGAGGACATGTCACTGCGCATTCGAATTAAATACCAAATTATATGAAACGGGTATACATGTTGTAAAAATGCATACTAAAATGTTATTACAATAATCTCTTATTCAATCTTTCAGAAAAGATTTGAACTATTCGACGTTTTTGATAAAACAATGACAGGACTTTTATTTTGACACCTTTTTCCAACTTCCCGTCCACATGTATGAATGAACAATTTGGCGCATGCGCACTTTCAGTTTCCAAATCAATGGACAGGGCAAACTCGGGACCATGGCAATTTTATTGAAATGATCGTTATGTTGTTATATATTCTCAGAAATTGTCTTAATATGCATAGAGTTTTTTGTCCTTTCCGTAGGCAGCAGAGTAAATACGTTTACACATTTCTATTTGAGACGGTCACCTTGTGAAAGGCGTCGAACGGGGAAAAAAAAAAACTCCCAGCAGGTTGGGTTTTTTAGGTTATAACTTATATTTAATTTTACTTTCACTATGGGCGTAGTTCTGCGGAATCTGCAGAATGTGGTTCCCGTGAGACGCGCCAAACTGCGCAAAGATGTGGAGGTCCTGAGGCACATCTTTGGGGTCCAGAAGTTTGACATGGGCATCATATGCGTGGACAACCGCAGGATTCAACGCTTCAACCACATCTACAGGAAAAAGAACCAGCCCACAGATGCGCTGTCTTTCCCCTTCTATGAGGTACAACCGCTGTCAAGATTGATTTTATGGCTATATACTTTTTTCTCATTGACGAGAGGAAGTACTTGGCCTGAAATATGTTATTGTGTATAAACACTGGCCATTGACAGGTGGCTAGAGCATGTCTGTTTTTGCTGGCAGTTGAAGTAACCCATGTCTGAGCAGTTCAAGGAAATAATGGCTGAAGTTTGTTTCATTTCCCAAGGATCTGAGGCCAGGCAAAATCCCATGTGCCCTCCAAAGAGATGAGTATAACTTAGGCGACATCTTCTTAGGTGTAGAGTATGTAATGCAACAGTGCAAAGAGACTTCCCAGGATCTTCATGAAGCACTAACAGTAAGAAAGATGTGTAGTTTGAGCACATTTATATCTGCAGCCTAGCAGAGATTGCATGAAGGTTTATTAAAATGGCTTTTTGTGGCGTTGCGTAGGTGGTCACTGCTCATGGGATCTGCCACTTACTGGGGTACAGACACGAAACTGAAGAGGAGTGGAATGAGGTGGGACATATTTCATGAGAGTAGTATTGGCTGTTGTAGCTTGTCTTTTATAGTTTATAAAAATATACAAACTGCTTGTAGGAACAAAACCAAAAGAGAAAACTATTAAGTGGTGATATTCCCTTTACACTGGGTGGTGGATTTATTCAATTAACCATGTTGGCTTTCAGTGTATTAAAAATATGTACATATCGATCATCCTGAGGCCATCAGGGTGAGAAACACATCTCTAAAAGTCTTGCACACATGACAGGCTACGTGCTAAATAAGTGGTTCCCAAACTTTTTCTGCCAGGCCCCCATCTTGTAGAGAAAAATATGTTTTGGTGTTCATTTTGCATAACAGTCCTGACTGTGCACTGACAAAATATTGTCACTATGTAAAGGGGGGCCAGTTGTCAAACTTTTCATTCCAGTGAATACTACTCAGAGTAGGTTTATTTGTCTGTAATATAAACACCTTAACTGTCACCCCCCATTTTTGAACATAGATGTGAAAGTGCACCATCCAAACTAAAATTGTTATAATTCATGAACGCTTTGTAATACAGACCTACGGTTGGTCTCTTTTCAGTAGATTATTGCCGATGCAAATGTTCTATACTATTTTTATTTTATTTTATATAAAATAAATATTTGACAAAATATTTGTAATCCATAATTGTTTTAAATTTAAAGCCATGTGTCTAATACGTTGTCTTCCAAATTTGAAGCAGATATCAAAAAACAAAAAAGGTTCCTATGAAATTTAGGCATTATACCAATAATAGCCACTGGGTGGCACCCAAACTCCATTTTTTTAATGCAAATTTCCCAATATTACAAAATACCACCAAATATGGAATCTTGAGACTCAGGCCTTTCCAATTATATGTATTTTGTCAAGATTATAAAATATTTTGATTGTAAAATACCATAATAGATTTTGTAATATCACTTGACACCACTAAGGGGGAGGAGACCGCTAAAAGATTTTAAAGTACCATTCCATGGTAACGCAATGTCTGATTTCAAAATGGTTTTCACAGGATTAGTTTTGAGATTTTAAGTGATATCTGATTTATAAATGATATCTAATTTATGATGATTACATATGAAATGGCATTAAATACTATAGAATTCTACATTTATGAAAATTAGTCTTCTACCTCTATTATAGTTTACTATTGTCCTAATTTTTTATTGTGTGCACCTTTTTACCCAAAAGCTATTAAAAAAAAACAATCTAATTTAATTTTAGAATGAAGTACATAGTTTGCAGTAGTTGTGTAGTTGGACTTTTGACTTGAGCCCCTTTAGCTGCTGGGGTGGAGCCTTTGTGACAAATAGCCCCAGTCTCCCCATTAAAAGTTGAGCCGATATTTTTATTCTTTCTCCTTGTTCTTGAAGCCGATCAACTGTGTTCTTTTTCAACAGATGCAGCAGAAAGAAAGTTACATTCTCAGCGAGTTCAACAGGCTAACAGGCAGCCACCTCGAGCCACTCACAAAGAGATGCACATAGGACATGTGACGTTACACACTGGACCGCTTCTTGAAAGAAACTCTTGGGCCGTAAATAAGGGAGAAAAGCACATTTACTACCGAGTTCTGAATCTTGAATTAAAACCAATGGAACACTGTTGATTTTTCTCTAAATAAATTTTATTTAAAATGTGTTCAAGGAAGTCAAAGACTGAATACTAAGCAATTAAGTAGAGCTTATACCACTGTTTCAGAGAACACCATACACACAATGTCCAAACAAGTCCCACTCTTCCATGAACCTACTCGGATGATCAGAACAGAAAACATGAATAAAGTGGTTACCGAAGACATGAAAATGAGAACGGCAGTACAGTACAAATCAGACAGTGAACAAGATCTCAAATAAATAAATAACAGCTGACTTCATGTGAAGCACTCTCATCAGATGCTTCCTATATTCAGTAAACGTTTTTCATTTGACGTCTTTCTGAAAACAGACATTCTACACAATGGCTGTGCAACTTCACACTGTAAAGCTCTATATAGAAGGAAAACAAAATTGTTTTACTAGGTCTGTAGGTGTGGAGAGGCATAAAGATTCTTGAAGGGAGATGTTTAAAAAAAGACAAGCTACATCAATACCACTGAGCTTGTTAGATTAACGTTTATAAAATAAGAATAAAACAACCAACAGTCATCAGTAAAGCCTTGAATATAAATCAGTACTATTCCAAGTCTCTCTTCATCGCTATAGGTCATATAAAAGCCGACTGGCAAAAGCAAATATTGCACCACATTTTCAGCTGCATATCAAACAAGACAGACAGCCCATATTCCCTATTCCACCCAAACATATACAAGAATACATTTTTATATGCAATAGATTGAAAAGGAAATCTAAAATTTGCAGAGGGGAAAGGGAAAAAACTAAATTTCTTAATGCACAAGTTTACCAGAGGGTCTTTTCATCAAGGCAAACAAAATATTTAAACAAAAGAAAGAATAAAAAAATAATAATAAGAGCAACTTCAACTCAAAATGCTTTCTATATTTCTATATTTATTTTCTTTGCGTTTCCCCATAAACATTTGTACCTACGAGTTTCTAGAACATTTACCCATCTAACTGCAAGTCTACATTTGACACGGCAACAGTATTTCACAGGGAGCAATGGGAAAAGTGAAAGAAATAGAAAAGGAAAAGTGCCCAAAGTAGGTGCATGTGTGTGTGGACGGTCTTCAGTAGTACTGATGAAGGGTGTTGCGTTTACCCCTGGCTCAGTTCAGCTGGTCATCAGCAGAAGGATCCACCCGGATGGGATGTTAGAAGCATGCGAGAGCGTTTATAGCGGCTGCAGCACTGTGCGACCGGCATCACCGTTCCCTCCTGCCTTCTCCAGCTCAGACAGCTCCTCAAACACATCTCTGAACACAAAAACATCTCATCAGATCACAACAATAGCAGTGGGTCTCATTCACTAATTTGCATGGATTTCTTGTATTTATACTTACTTGTGCATGTAGAAAAAGATGTATCCGCTCCTGTCACGATCTCTCTGAACTGTGGACTCCTGTGTGCGGGAGACGTCCAGATCATTGTATGTGAGCCAGGACTGTTTCCTCATGTCATAAACATCACTAATGTAATGCCCTATAGGAGGAAAGAGACGAACAGCAGCTGCTAAAACTTACTGTACTTGGTCCACAATGCAAAGACAACAGCTAAAAGACGCCAGTACCTGATGATGAACTGCTGCCGATGTGACTGACCACACTGATGAGTCTGAAGGAGTTCGGAAGCTCTCCAGTCTGGGGAACAAATCATTACACGATCATTCAAACCATGCCCTGAAAACTGGCACTTCTCAAATGGCACCGAGGGTCTCAGACTCACCTCAGCATTCTTCTTGAGCTCTTCAGCTTCAGCCTCACTGTACTCCATATCCAGGCCATCCTCATTCCCAGAGTCGTCATCAGAGCACAGCAGCTCTGGCAAAGAGTTATTAAATTCTACAACAACACAAACATCCACGTTAACAAAAACATTCACATAAACCAAAATAATGTGACACAGAACACAATGTTCTGGGTGTGTCATTCTGACCTTGCAGGCTGAGCTCAGTGGCTCTCTTCAGATCGTCATCTTCCCTCATCTCTCTCGCCTCCTGTGCAATTAACACAGATAATATTCACTGAACAACGCAGTCATTATCATCATCATGAGTTAAGCTGTGCTGACGTCAAGGATGAACAACACTGGAAAAGTACAGCTGCCAAGAAGATTGTGCTAAAAGACATACATTCTCAATAATATGCCCAAGCCACTTGTGAACTCAATCAAAATAGACCCCCAAAAAAATCTTGAATAGAATGAAGCCTGTTAACTTTTTTTTTGGCAAAGTAAAACTTAAGATTCTCTCTTTTAAGTCTTTTTGTTGTTGTTGTATGTTTTACTTCAGATATTTTGATTTTAAATTTATCAAGATTTTAAAACTGTCCTTAAAATGTTTTATATTCAAAACACCACAATTATGTTACTTTGATTGTGTGGTGAAATATGACCTGGATATGTTATTCAGTTGAGTTTCAGTGAGATTCAACCCCACCCCCCAGGATTTTTTTTTACCAAATAAATATATAATTCTTTACCAAATTATGCAACGTATAATGATCTCTACGTTTGTCCGTGTTTCAGTTTATCAGCAAATAAACACACAAATGCAAACTGAGGGAGAATTTAAACCAATTAGACAATACGTTAGGTAAAAATTCACAAGATTAAGAAGTGTAAAAATCAAGGTCCACAATACAAGTATTACGATGATTACAATTTTATTAAATTCATAAAATATAGAATTTACAGCTAGATTCCTTACATGTTCCTGTAGGCTCTGTGCGAGGGCCTGCTGCAGCTCCTGTTCCTCTCGCTCCTGGTCTAAACTGTACTGCTGCACCCAGTCCAGCTCTCCCTGCACACCTTCAGGCGTCTGGTTCTCCTTATTCTCATCCATGGTCAGATCTAGAGACTCCAGAGCATCTAGACACAAACCAAACAATGAACAAACACAACTCTATAGACACTGTAGGCCGGGAATATAAACATGAAGTCTAGTTAACACTCTAGTTACCTGCAGGCTGTTTCTCTCCATCTAGAAGCTCTAAATGATGAGTCAGGTCCTGCCCGTCTGCATCTCCAAACCCTGTGTCTGGGCTGCTGGTTGGCTCGTCATCAGGGCATCCGGACAAACTAGTGTCGTGCCGACTCATCTCCAGCACAGCTGCTAGCATCTCATCATCGTTGATTGCATTAAACTCTGAGTGCTCGACCTGTGCATTGTGCTGCACCTGAGAACAAAAGGGAGGTTAGATGTGAGGTAGGGCTGTGCGATTTTGAAGAAAAATGCGTTATGCGATACCTTGTTAAAAAATGCGATATTCGATATGCGATAAGATATTGCTTAAAGTGTGAAAAATCTATTTCAATTATATTTTAAAATATTTAAAAATGAAAATTATATAGCCAATTTGTTTCACATTCTTTCTTGGAAAAGAAAGAATCACTATAACTTCTGAAAGTGACCAGCAGTGTTTTAGCATTACATAAAAAGTAATGTCACAAATCAGAAAATGTCATTTTAACATCAGTGTGAACATACAAAAAAAAAATGTATGACTCTAATTTTATATCATTGTAACTTAGCTTTCCACACACTTTAAGTACTTCTTCATATACCACAGCAAAAACTATAGTCTGAAAAATTCAAACATGATTAAAGGCAAGTGAACAGTCAGTAAAAAAAAAAATAAAAAAAAAATACACAAGTTACAAGCATAGATAAAATAAACGGTAGTATTCAGATACAGAAATTGAATAAGTGTAAAATAAGACTGCATAGTGTTCACTGTATGAATTAAATT